ACACTGACTTATATTAAAATATAGTATGTTTTAAATATTTTTTAAAAGAACGTAAATAAATTACTATATTCTATTTTGATTAGTCAAAGGTGATAAAATATTAATAAATCAAATCTAATTGAAATTTTTACAACTTAAATATATATCATTTATATTTCTATCAAAATCAAATAAAAATATAATCATTTAATAATAAAAATTCTTTGGGAAGAATAAATATAATGTATTTTAAAATCAAATCTATTTATCCTTAAATGAAATTTAAATTAAAATAGATAAATATTTTATCCAAAATACAAAAAATACAATATTGTTAGATATGACTTTTTCAACTCAATTACTTTTCACCAATCCGGGTATGGTCCTGAATATTGTATTCAGGACCATCCTGAAAAAATATCAACTGATCAAAATTTTAATCAACGGATGAGATTACAGTCATGAGTAGATATATAATTTGATTTTAATAATTAATAAATCAATGATTTGTTTTAACCTAAATTAAGGGAATATAAATATAGATAAATGCATATCGTATTCATAATTTTAGTTGTTTAATATCCAAAAGAAAAAAAGATAACTCCATTTTTTTTTCACCGATATCCATTGAAGAAAATAAATAGTGGAGAAGTGGGAGCGTCTAATAGGATGACGCAAATTGATGCGCATTCCACTCAATTCCAGTGTGACGCTGATGAATATAGCGTTTCAAAAATTGCAGAATGCGGTAAGTGTTTTCTATTTTTCATCGATCGCGAGAGTAACGTTTTGACGAATTTTGTTACATCATATCCCTACTTTATTAGCATCGTATTCTAAATATATATGCATCATAATCATATTAGTCATTCACCATAACAATAGTTGCAGTTAACATTAAGGGTGTGTTCGTTTGTAGAATTTCAACAAAATTCTACTATTCATCCAATTTTTTCCCCCCAAATACATCAAATCAAACACCTATTTTTTATTTTTTATATTATACTAAAAATTAATTTTACATTCAAAATATCACATCAACACCTATTTATATCACATCATATAACTATTCAAATTCAAAATTTTTACTATTCAAATCCCAACTCAAAATCCAAACCCCCAAACAAACACACCCTAATTGAATCAATTTATAGAAGTTATGTAAGCGCTAATTCAAAAATGTTAATTTTCTGATATAAATTATTCGATTGCTATATGAAATCATATATGTAACAAATAAGGTAAACAAAATCACACTTATCAAAATTGAGAAGTATTGAATTATACTAGATTGCCCTTGAAATTAGGGTCAACATCCTAAAATTATGGGTGGTTAGACGAGTTGGGGTAGTCCCCATATTAAATCATATCCATAATTTTTTTATTATTTTAATACCTCAAACACGTATAGAATATTTACCCAGACATATAATGCGCAAAAAGAGGGAGGTACGTTTAGTTACTCAATATTTGCACTGGAACAACATCATAATACAATGTTTCATAAACCATAATAAACTACTATAGACATCATACTTTTTAACGTCGGATATCATTTGATTACCCAGGTGACGATTATTGGGCTAGTGCAACTTTTTCGACTTCCGACGATGCGTACGGGTCATATTGGAGATACACACATATATTAGAATTTTCCGTGTGAAAACAAATGCAAAAAAAAGGCAAAAAGTGATCCTCATCGTGTGCAATACATTCACTATTGTTGCAATAAAGAGGGGTACAAAAAGGGCAGTAGAGTAGACCCTAATAACAATCGAATATCTTCAGAGGATTTTGGCGCCCCGTCATATACATCCATATTAAGAAAAAGGTACGAGACGCATACTGGGTGTGAAGCAAGATTGAAGTTACAATTCGACGAACAAATGCAGAGATACAACGTCACCGAATATGTGGACGAGCATAACCATGAACTACATCCTCCTAACTACACACATATACTTATTTCAAATAGGGCTGTAGATAACGCTCAGATGACTATAGCTACAATTAATAAAGAGGCAGGCATTTCCGATCATCATATGATGTGTTGAGAATAGAAGCTGGAAATAAAGAAACGCTCGGGTTTCTTAAATATGATTTAAGCAATCAAATTAAGAAAAAGATAAGTGCAATTTCGTGGTAGAACATCATAATAGTATCGTAGAAATATCATTTTGGGATGATGTATACATCATTATAACTTGAGTGTATACAATTTTGAAAGTAATTACTTGAGAAACGTTTTTGTTATATAAGAAAAGTATTTCATGGTAGATCATAATAGTATCATAGAGACATCATTTTGGAATGGTGTATAGATCATTATAACTTGAGTATATACAATTTTGAAAGTAATTACTTGGGAAACGTTTTTGTTTGTTTGAGAAAAAATTAATCCTGAAATTATCGGAGGTAGTTACGATAATTTTTGGACATCGTTTAATTATCTTATATAAGAAAATTATTCTCGTGGTAGAACATCATAATAGTATTATAGAGACATCATTTTGGGATGATGTATGCATCATTATAACTTGAGTGTATACAATTTTGAAAGTAATTACTTGGGAAACGTTTTTGTTTGTTTAAGAAAAACTTAATCCCGAAATTATTGGAAGTAGTTACGATAATTTTTTCTAATTGATTTTTTAATTAGATATCTTAATCAATTTTTTCAATTATCAAAATACCCTCAATCAAACTCAATCGTTGGATTATCAATAAAAACAATCCAACGGATTAAAATAATTCAGGATGCTCCTGAAATTTAATCAACATCAAGATTTTTATCCACTTTCACATTAACTTACCCCACTTATTTTATACGTAAATTGTTTCTCAACTTTATTAAACTGCTATTTGCTCTTATCAAACAATTCTGGCGGACCATATTGCTCTTGCCGCCCTTTGATCCATCACCTCCCCTTCTGATTCTGCTGTCGCCGCCACCGGACCTCTCTGCTGCTGCCGCCACCGGATCCACCACCATCACCATCAAAAATTTTAATATTGAATTTCTTTCTGGTCTTTTTTTTTTTCGATGGTTTTTTTTTCTTTTTCTTTGTCAATATTTTCTCTTTCCATCTATTTCTTTTCGTATATTTTGCAATATATCAAAATACATGGAGAGAGGAATATGATTATATAAATAAATTGCAGGATTTATATATGATTTTACCTTTTTAATTATATGGTAAGGATTTCATTTTTATTTATATTTTGCAGAATTTTTTTTATTTAATTCGTATATATATAGGGTTTTTTTTTGTGTTTTTTCTATGAATAGCGAGATTTATATATATGTTCTATGATATGTATATATGTTATTATGTGATATATTGTATGATTCTATTATTTTTTATTTCAAGAAATCTAATAAAGAAATGGGTGTGGCCTCCAAAAGTGCTGCATAGGGCAGCCTATCTGCTATGTCGATCAACTCTTTACTACTTCATATTCTTATTGAAAACTTCGAGATAGATAAAAAAATATGAGATAGGTCGACAAAATATAACTGTAGTTGAGCATGTTTTTTTGGAGTAAAAAACTTTAATTATAAGCTATAATCTTTTGACTTATTAAATCACAGTTACTTTTTTCTTCCAAAAAAAATGGTTATATGCTTAAAATAATTTATATGTTAAATATATAGTATATATTTACTAAGTGTTTATAATAGTTATAATAGTTCTTCTATACAATTGATTTGTATACATTAGTATAGAAATTGCTCATAGGAATTGGATTTAAGTTGAATACTTTTTTAGCTTAAAATTCTCCAAAATTGTTAGTGCGAACCAAATGACATGTATGCATCCAAATTAGCTGTTAAAATTAGGTAATTTATTCACTTCGTAATATTTTATATTGTATATTTTTGTAAAATTTTTATAATATTCTCTTTCATATATATATATATATATATAGGAAATTGTTAAGTCCACACTCAAAATATCCAAATAATTATGTTCAAGCATCTCCAAATAATTTCGTTGATCTATAATTGCATATGGGGGATTTATTTAGTCGTCAAGTCAAGGGCTAGAGCGAGAATCACGTGGAAAGACAGCTAGAGTAATGCTTGGTTCTTGTGTGTTTTTGTGAAGTGCAGTATAAATATTTGAAATAATAACTTTATTTTATGATAGTGATATGCACTCATTTTGGTGGAAATGTAACGATGAATGAATTAATCAAAATAATTAATTAATTTTGGCATTAGATTGTATAAATTTTAATTTTGTATATTTCTATAATTATTTGAAATACAATAAAGTATAAAACCTCAAATATTGTTATGGTTGTTCGATATAATTTATAGTTTCAGATATTGCTACAATGATTTTGAGATAAAATATAGTATACGGTCTCGATTATTTTCATAGTTATTTAAAAAAATATATCTTCATAGTTATTATTATGATTGTTCAAGACAATATATAGTCTCGATTTGGAGATAAAAAGCAGTCTCGGATATTGTTATGATTTTTTGCATAGTATAATCTCAAAAATTGTCATGGCGGGTTGAGATAACATATTTTCAAAAATTATTACAGCAATTTGAGACAAAGTAGTCTAAAAAATTGTCACGGCCGTTCAAAACAAAATATAGTCACGAAAATTATCACAACAATTAGATACAAAATATAGTCTTAGAAATTATCATGATTGTTCGAGACAATATAATCTCAATGACGCTTGTGAGTATTTTCGAGATAATATATTGTCACGACATTCTCTCGGTCAATTCGATGAGATAATTTGCCTCGCCATTCTGTGACTTTCTAGATTGTCACAATAAAATGACCACGACAAAGCTTTCGAGACAATTACCGAGAGTCCTCAATTAATTGTCTCGTATCTACATAGATATCTAAACAATTTTTCTGAGACAATTCTATATATTTTTGGTAGTGTTATAGACAAACAAAAGTTAGAAAAACGTTTTAACATTTTCCAAATATACAAATAAATACATATATAGTAACCTATGTCTCACACTTAAATCAATTCACAACGATTCCATTTCCATTTTTCTAAAATCCAAAATCGCCTCCCGATCTGCACCGCAAAGCTCGTCGATACTCCGTCCTTTGCCAAATCCTAACCAAGGTGGTCGATTTTTGCTGTTGGCGCTTGGAGGAAGTCGAAAACCAATTAGGCACACCAAATCAAGAAATTTTTCTCCCGCTACCTCAGACGATTAACTTTCATCTGTGGTCACGCCTGTCGACCCTTCCTTCGCCGCCGACGAGGAGCGCCGGTCACCTCCCCCAATTCCCGGTGAGAAGGTTAGTGTATTATAGGTTTCTTTTACCATCTTTCTAATATTAGGATGTGTATTGTGTATGAAAAATAATTTGGTTTTTTTTTTAATATTCATGTCATCGTTAACTATTCAGAGGAAAGAGAGATTTGATTCGTAATACATATTGTTTGGTGAACATGATAGGAGTTATTGCCAAAGACTTTTTTCTTGGCAAAATTTTGTTAAGGAAAGGACAGGGAAATCAGAACAAGTGTTTAAGTTGATCTAATCATATAGATGAATTTTGTTTATTACATTGAAGGAAGGCTTTGCAATCTAAAGTTGAAGAGCATTTAAATTGGATTAGAAATAAAGGTGGGATGGATTAGAAACAAAGGTGGGGATGGCGTTCTATTAGTTGGATTGATAACAAGCAAAGCATTTTTTGAGGTGTTTGGTTGATGTTAATTGGTGATTTTGATATCGCCAGAGGCGTTTGGCTTCAAATTTCCTAGTAGTGTACTGATTCTCAGATTGCAAAGCTGCGGATAGGGTAAGATCTTTTGTTTGGTGTTTTTTTCTTGTTCTTCTTGAGCTCCATACATGGAGTTTTTAATTTTCGGGGCAGGGCATAGTTATATAGATTTTGGAGATTGATTGTATATTAATTTGGATCATAGAATCAGTCTGATTTGGGGGGTGGATAAAGATGGGCCTTTGATGAGTTTTAATTTATTTTATTTTGGATTTGGCTTGTGTAATGTTGGTTGTGGGGTGTGAAGGTTTGTTAAGTGCCATGGTTCTTACTGACCATGGATTATGTTGTAATGAATTTGACAAAATGTTAGAAAAACACTAGGTTTGTCACCATTCTCGGATTTTTCACATAATATGATTGTTATAATATCAAACTAAAATTCTCTATTTCAATCATAAAAATTAGTAAATATTTATAATGACGTATAAATCATCTAAATAATGCAAGAACCCTACAAACATCTTAAATAAGATAACTACCATAACTATAATAGTATATATTTTCTAAATATGTTTTAACACCCCTCCTCAAACTTAAGATATGATCGAACAAACTTGAGTTTGTTAGAAGTGACCGAAAAAGATATAGCCGAGATCTTCCATGAACGAACTTGAATTTTCCAAGATTGACCGAAAGTGGTGTAGCCATCCAGACAGAATCAGAACTCAACACCGTTAGAGTTGAAAATAGGACTCGCTCGTTCACAACAGAACACGAGTCGAAAACAAGACACTCTTATAATAGAGCTAGAGTCGAAAGCATGACTCGCTCGCTCACAACTGAACTAGAGTCGGAAATAGGACTCGCTCGCTCACAATAAATCTAGAGCCGGAAATAGGACTCACTCACTCTCAAATAGACTTAGAGTCGAAAACAAGACTCTCAATGGCATTAGAGTTAAAAGTAGAACTCTGTGGAGATCGAAGTAGTAGAGACAGAGGCGACATAAAAGTGACAGCATGATCGTGGATAGAAGCAAATACATCAATAAAATATAAAAATATATACGGTATATAACGGGTCATGGATGTACCCGGAGAGAATTTGACTCTGATGCCATGTTAGAATATCAAACTGAAATTCTCTATTTCAATTATAAGAATTCGTAAATATTTATAATGACGTATAAATCATCTAATCCTACAAATATTTTAAATAAGATAACTACCATAAATATAATAGATAAGTTAATTGTTTATAGGTTCCATTAGAAGCAATGGAACAATAGTCTGTTTCAGTTGCAAATGCAGGAATAGTAGCAAGTCTATTAACATCTATTTGAGATCCCAAAAAAATATGTGGAAAATAGTTTTACATTACCAAAAAGTGAACATAATACTTATGCTTACATTTAGATTTGTTAAATTTGAATTAAACTTTCCATTGAATAAGTTCTACAATCTAGGAAGTAAGTTATTTTCTTGTTAGTTAGCCCTATTATTATGTTAGCGGATTAGAAAATAGTTTTGTAAGGTTGGATATGTATTAGACGTGTTTCCTAGAGAAGTTTAATGAGATTCTAGCATTCATGCATTCAATCTCTCTTTTCATAACAACACTTGGTCTGCTTTGGCTTATATTCCAGCTCAGTAAGGATCGGCTTATAATTTTTAAATACATCCTATCTGGGTTCGATTCTTTTCTTGATAAATTTATGATTGTCAACTTTTTTTTATTTTATTATTGACCTGCTGTTGCTTTGGCCTAATTTGGTTTTAACTGTGATTGCTATTGGTTGAATTGTGTATCAAGATGTTGTGAAATCTGATATAGTATGCGACCAGTTCAATTACTCTTACTTAGGTGATTTTTTTAATATTAGTTTGAGAGAAATTCTCTAAATTGATTGGGTTGTGCTTGCATCACTAAAATTAGAATTGTAAAACTGATTTTGGGTTAAGTTGGCTAAGTTTGGTGGTAATTGTCAAAGAGCACTTGTGAGCACTTGTGAGTATATTTCTTACTTGGAATTTTCTTCATAATAAGTGTGAGGAGAGGTTTTTTTTTTTTTTTTTGAAGTTTGACATTTCATTTGCTTACTTGCCAAATTTTCAGGGAATAGAGGTGATATTGATATGCTTGCTGCTATGACGCCAGAAAAGTTTTGTTCTATGCACTATTTCATATTTTGACATAATGCCTTTCTTTTTTTGTGCTCATGAATTAGATTTCTATGTCAATATATTGGCTTCTAAACTACCCTTGTTTGTGATACTAGTAAAAAATTAGACTATAATATGCCTTAGAATTGAGCTGTGCTTCAGTTGCTCTTTTTGAAGAACGATGTGCACATTGGTGTAATTAAGGACCGTCTTAGCTACTGCTGCTGCATTGCGCATTCGGTTAAAGCCCTTTGGACTAAAATGGCTATTTGGTTGCTGCTTTCATTTTATTTAGAAGAATTAAAATATGCAAATATTCTATTTTTTCTTTTTCTTTTTTTTTTTTTTTTTTTTTTTTTCACTTGTTGATCTTGCTACAAAGAAAAAGCCTTGGTGAGATATTGTTGTGAGAACACTGCAGAGGTTTGAAAGTTGATGGGCGACATTTGATAACTCTTGATTTTGCCATATTTTATAGCTTATATTTATTTAATTATTTATTTATTTATGTCGAATTTTGGTATTATTTATGTTAATTTATTCTAATAATTATATTCATTTCATCTTGTTTGTATAATATTAATTTATTAGTTTTTAAGTGTAATTTATAATTATTTTGGTGTATAAATTGAATTAATTAATGTGTCTTAAATTATATTTTTAGGCATTATTTATGTGCTATTTAAGTATTTAGTTTTGGCTAAATTAATTTTATTTAATAAGTATTTATTTAAATAAATATTTATAAAATGTTCGTTATTTATATAGGTGAAATAATGCTTGAAAACTGATATGGGAGTCCAGAACTGGCCTTAAAGAGTGAAAAAATAGCTTCAGAAGCGAAAAAAAGTCACCGGCGTGAAAGTCAACGGTCAACGCCAGAAAGTCAACGCGCGAAGTCAAAGTCAACCGAGCGCGGAAGACAAGCGGCGGCCGCGCAGAAGGCAAGCGACGGCTGCACGAAAGTGCGCAAGCGCGGAAGGCGAGCGACGGCTGCATAGGAGTGCGCAAGCGACGGCCGCACGGAAGACAAACGACGGCTGACACGCAAGGCAAGCGACGGTTGACACGGGAAGCGATGACAGCTGCACGGAAACTTTGGCATTGAAGTGAGCAAAGCGATGGCGGCTGACACGGAAGGCAAGCGGCGGCTGACACGGAAATATGAGCGGAGCGGAAAGCCATACGTGGAAGTGAGCGAAGCGGCGGCTGCATTAATTCTCGCTGCATTTATTGCCGCTGGTCAGCGGTGCATTTACTGCGCCACCACAATAATTCCTGCACAGAATTCTACTGCATTTATGTCTCTTGCACCCTCAGCTCCTGCATTTACTACACTCTCCCAGCTCCCTTAGTTATATTAGTAGCTATTTTTAGAGTTAGTTATATTAATAGTTATTTTTAGAAGTAGTTATTTATGGTTATTTTTAGAGGTAGTTACTAGTTATTTTTAGAAATAGTTATTTATGGGCGGTCTTCTAGAAGCTTTTTCCCCTATAAATATCCCCTCTAATTGTACCATACATACATACATACACCATATATACACAATAATATACACTCCATTTTCTCCATTTCTTTTCTCCTATATTTTTATCTAGTTTAATAATACGGGATTTTCGGTTTTGTGTCGCGAGCAAACCGATTTTCTCCCCCTTTTTCTTTTAATTCCTGCATAGTATTTTAGCTAGTAAAATTCCTATCATATTTCTCCACCTCACGTTTACCCAAAAATTCCATGTTCGATTTGAATTGTTCAAGTTGGATATCGACAAGGTTGCGGAAGGGTGATAGAAGAATCGACTATTTCAGCCCTTTTATGCGCCAAAAGCGGTTTCCGGGTAGTTCAACGTAGCTAAGTACGCGGGAGCCTTGTCGACCTACTTAGTTGCTGTTCTGAATTCGATTCCGATTAAAGAGAGGTAATAAAAGGGGTAGAGCCACTACGGAACGGTTGGAAGAATAATTCATGGGGCATAGGCGGGGTCTATTGGGTCACAGAGATTCCTAATGACAGTAGGGTTTCTTGCTTATAATGTTCTTCGTCGGGTGTCGCTGAAGCCTCGTTGTAAATCCCCGAAGGTCAAGTACCAACCGAGTCGAGAATCGGCTTAAGCGAGCAAATGCGATCACGTTCATTCCTCCGAGCCACCCCGCAATTATACATATATTTTTCGCTATCACGCCATCGTCATCCCGCTCATTTCATCCATGGAAATCTAGCCATTAAGGAACGCAAAAGTCAGACACAAACGCCTCGTTTCATCATTTTCGAGATACGTATATTTTATCGCTTTTTAATTAGATTTAATTTTTGCAATTTATCTTTTCAGTTTCTTCGATTGCATTAACTCATTGCACTTCTTCTAATTAAATATAGGATATTTGCATATTCCCTGAGTTCGACCCAGACACTCACCGGTTAAAGAGATTTTTTTATTTTTGACGAAGAATTTTGGAGTTACTATACGAACACGCACGACACTATTTTCATTTTATACATATATCTTTTTTTTGTATCTTAAAAGATATTTTAAGAACTCTCCAAAATTCTTCGATCAACATTCTAAAAAAATCCTCCCATGTCTAAGGTTAGTAAAAAGTTATCAATACCTTCTTTATAGGTTATGTGTAGTGAAATAAATAAAACACATCCAAAATTTTAGTACACGAATCTCAAAATTGGAAAATGGTATTAAAACTACTACCTGGTGTAACGCTCGTTGCAACCTTTCTTTGAAGATTCTCCAGTTAAGGATATTGTTGTTCAGGTATAAATATCTACCTTATTTTTTCTTCAGTTTTTTCGTTTTTTTCAATAATATTATGTTATAAACAATGTTGACCCTAGTTATATAGTAAAATGCTTTGTTATTATAGGTTTTATGCTTGTATCAATGGCTGCTACATGTTTGGGACATGTTTTAATATGACTCTAGAGTTATAGAAATTAGAGATTATGTTGGTTGATTTATGTTATGAAGAATTGAATGTGGTGTTTGATTTATGTCTTAAAAGTATTAGAAATTCAGCTTTATTTCATTATTTACGGAGTTCAAACTCATGTTGATGATTATTTTGAATGAATTGCATTGTTGATTTTGTTGGAATCACAAGAACTGAATCTGGTGTTTGATTTATGTCTTAAAAATACGAGAAATTCAGCTTTATTTCATTATTTATGGAGTTCAAACTCATGTTGATGATTATTTTGAATGAATTGCATTGCTGATTTTGTTGGAATCAAAAGAAATTTGTTGATAATTACACAGTTTGTTTTAATATAATAAAAGGAAATTAATTATACATGTTGTTACAATGTTCTAGTTAAGGATTAGTAAATGCATGATTAGCCAACTGCGTAGCGCACCCTTGGATTCCTTTTGATTTTACAAGTCGATCTCATTGAGTGGACTTAAAAAGATGTACATGATTTATTTTTGAAGGTTTTATTTGTTTGTACTAATTTATTCATTTTACAAATAAATTACTCCCTCCGTTCCATAACAAAGTATCCATTTTTCCATTTTAGTCCGTCTCACAACAAAGTATCTATTTCCCTCTTTAGTAACTGTACTACCTACCTAACATTACAAATACCCTTACAACTTACAATATATTACACAAATGTCATTACATTTATATCACACATACTAACAAGGTTATTTTAGTCATTTCTACTTTATTCCTACTATATCCCAATATAATACTAATATTTCTAAAACTACGTGCAAAAAGCAAATGAATACTTCTTTTTGGGACGGAGTTTGCCACATCCGAGTGTCTCCCCCTTACTTCATCGCTGCATGAGCATCTTCTTACCATGTATATGCTTAGATATGGACTAATGTCTTACTACATTGATCATTTTTCATATACGTATGTATTTTTAGCTTGTTTGCCTTTATGTAGTACTTCAGGGGTAGTTGACACGATTGTTGGTGCAACTGTATATGGGAGGGATACCTTAGAACATGGTTGAATTGGTCTCATTTTGTAAGTTTTATGATGAATTTCGAATTTACTATGGAAAAAAAATAAGATGTATGTTATTTGTCACAAAATTGATGTTGTTACAAACACTGTTACAATTGCATTATCTTTAGACTGTTACAAAAAATTACCAGACAGTATATTATTTGTCACGGAATGATCTCGTTATAAAACTCGTTACAAAAAGATATTGCAACTGTGAGAAAATATTTTTGCAATGCATCATTGTTAGGCTATGTTTCGTTACAAAAACGAATTCTATTTTTTGTTGCGTCCAAGAAACTGTAACAAAAATTCTATCCACGCAGGTTGACCATCATTTACGACATTTGTTGCAACAAAGACTTTTTGTTACTCGAGTAAATGTACCAGCAAAAATCCGCAACAAATTCGTCACAAATAGTTTTTTGTCACAAAAAAATTTGCATTCATAACGGTTTTAAATCCACTAGAAATAATCTTTTTTTTTAGTGTATGTTGGATTGCAAGCCATAAATTCCGTACACACAACTAGTCAAGTTGGATCAAAAGTTGCCAATTTCAAGAATAGTCTAACACAATTAAAATTTAATGTCTTGATGTTGTAGTAAATTTTCTAATAAAATTTTCATACTTACTTTGTGTTATTTATATTATCGTGTTTCATAGGTGCAATAGTCAAAAGTGTCATGGAAGTAAAAAAATAAAAAATAAAAAATAAAAAAAGACTATCACGACTTAAATGTCAGGAAAATGAATTCCAACAGCAAGTTTTCAGCCATCGATTGATTTTCCACATCTCAAATGTTAGTACTTAACAACTTGGATGATCACTTGTATACAAGTTAGGAGCATTAAGTGCCTCTTACAAGAGAGACAATCTAGAACCTCATATTAAGAAAGTATTGATCCAAAATGTGTTATTGATTCTCAAAGGACTATGACTATCATGTTTTGGTTACAAACGTATTGGCATAATGTCATAAGATTTCTTAAGCATGTGTGGGTGCATTTGCACGTAAAGTGTTTGATGAGTTTTGGGGATACTTTGTGTAGTTATTTTGTGTGGTTGTCATTTTGAAATTTTGGTACATGAAACTATATTGGATTTAATTTTTTTTTTTTATGTTGAAATTCTATTTTTATATCCTTTAATATGGCTATTTCAAATCATAAACTTCCTTGGTTTGAACATACAATATCTTCACGCACTATTAGAAATGTAATTATATTATGCAATATGTAACAAATCTAAAGACATATATAACATGGATGCATATCATCACAAAAAGTGAAGTGCTTTAACCGAATTAAATGAGATGCATCTCTAAATACAACATTGAAAAGGTGGCTAGCTACTTACACATTACCAAACAAGCAATAACAATAATATTTATTCATTATTTTTCCACCAATCTAAATGTCAAATATTAATCCTCAATTTCAAGATCTTCATTGAGAATCTTAAGGGATCATTATCATCCTATATTTGGTGAAAAGGTTTATATATGGATCCCGCCTTTCTCAACATATTCTTTAGTGCGTCAAGTTCAACATTTAGCGACTCTAGTTCTTAATGTTCATCATTTTTATTCATAACAATTGATTTTTTGTAATCACCATTCATAGATAATAATTCATTTTTATTGTCTTTTGCAATGGAGTTACCCAATCAAACATCATGCATACTAAAAAATTGTATGTTTCACCCATCATGCATTTTTTTTTTTTTTTTTATTGGGGATCGACAACAACTATTATGAATATTAGCTTATTCATCTTATTTGAAATTTCCCAATATTTATCAACCTTTTTTCATATTTTTTTTGTCATGTTAATTAATTCTCATTTTATCTTTTATAAAAGCCTTCAATAAAACTTATGTTTTGTAGATCTCACGCAAGAAATAAATATATGTAACATATGAAGACTTTGAAATCTTACATTTTTACTAGGCACTCTTATTATATTCAAGATCAATTTAGCACATCAAAACTAGAAAGACCTTTCTCAAATACAATTGTTTCTTCCAACATGAAGTATATTGAGTTTTAGCGAGTAAGCACATCGAAACACAATAAATTCTTACTTGATATCTTTTCTAAATTTGATCAACCTAGATCTTGAGTATATAATAATAATAATAATAATAATAATAATAATAATAATAATAATAATAAAATTACTAATTTTCTTTACATAAGACTTAAGGGGGTGTTTGGTAAAGAGCTTTTTTACAAGTTTTTAGCTTATTAAACAACTTTTAGCTGTTTGACCAATCAAAAAACTAATTTATGTGTAAATTAGCTTTTTGAAAGAGTTTTTGTGACCAAAAAGCTAAGTTTTAAAAAGCTAATATATCCAGCGTTTTAGAAGAGCTTTTTCATTTTAATTTTATTTATTTCTGATTTACTCTTAAAATTCATTTATTTATTTCATTATTATACCCAGTATTTATTAATTCTTTTTAATATATTTAATTTATTAAATTGTAATTTTATTTTTTAAATTTAAAATAATGACAATTATTAATTGTTTACTATAAATTATTTTATTTGTAAAATATATAAATTTATTAAAATTAAATCAAATAGAAAAGATAAATATTATTAATTTATTTATATATTTTTCATTATATAAATTTTAAATAAAAATTAATAAACAATAATTAATATAACAAAAAAGAATTATAAATTTATATTTTACACAATTTTAATAAAAAATTATTTTTTTAATAAAAATATTTTTCTCAGATCTAAAATATTAAAATAAATATTTTATAATATTTTTACAATTTTTAATAATTAATAAAAAAAATTTAATAAATGTTAAATTAAAATGAATAAAATTAAATATTTTAAAAAGTAACGTATAAATGTCTTTAATTGTCATTTTACGTATAAACAACTAATGTCAAACCGTCGTTTTACCAAACACTTTAATACAAACAGCTAATTGAATCAGCTAATCAAACCAACTAACTGAATCAGTTAACCGCTAACATCTAATTAATCAGCTAACAGCTAAAAATTATCATTTAATTGTCAAACCCACCCTAAGTCTCTTTCAAATCATCTTGCATCATCAAATTGAATATATGAGCAATGCATCTCGTATGCGTATTGCTACGATTTCTAATATTTTTCCTCATTGATTGATAGTTTACAAACAAATCGGCATGAGATCATTTTACGAAGTATCATAAGTGATAACACTAAATACCTTATTACTCCCTGAGGTTAAATTATATAATAAAGACTAAAAAACATAATGATATTTTAATGTTAAAATGAGATAGATAAAAAAAAAAAAAATGAAATATTGTAAAACCTTATTAAAAGATCCATAAAATGTAATGGAGTAAGTAAAAATAATAATAACGAATTAGTTATTTTTATTAAAATAAATGTAATAAATTGTATGCCGATAAATTTTTTTATGGATTATGCATAAATTTAGTGAGGCGAAGAAAAATAGCATAATTTTAGGAGACGGAGAGACTAATTCTTATTTTAAAATTACCTTCGCATAAAAAGTAGTATTATACCCACTATTATTAACTTACTAAGGGCGTGTTTGACAATTAGCTGATAGCTGTTAATTCTTAGCTGATTCAATTAGCTGATAGCTATTAATTGTTAGCTGATTCCATTAGCTGATAGCTGTTAACTGTTAGCTGATTCTATTAGCTGATTCAATTAGTTTGTTTGACTAGCTGATTCGATTAGCTGTTTGTATTAAAATGTTTGGTAAAACAACTGTTTGATATTAGCTATTTATACGTAAAATGACAATCGAGGACATTTTTATTTTATTCTTGTTTCTAATATATTCAATTATGTTCTTTTGAGTTTAGAATGTTTAAAATTTTTTGTTATTAGTTATTGAAAATTGTAAAAGTGCTATAAAAATATTTATTTTTATTACAGTTGGATTTAAAAAATAATATATTTTTATTAAAATATATAAATAGTTTTTATTTATTGAAAAGGATGTAAAATATAAAATAATAAATTTTTCGTGTATATATTTATTATGTTAGTTATCGATTAGTTCATTATATTTATAATTTTCAATAAATTTAATTTATTTAATTTATTTTTAGTATAAAATTTATATAATGTAATTTTAATAAAAAAATAAATTATTAATATTTATATTTTTTATTTTATATTGATTATAATAAATTTATATATTTTACAATTAAAATAATTTTTATATAAAAATTAATTATTTTAAATTTATAAAAGTAAAACTATAGTATAATAAAATATTCTAATATAATTAATAAATAATCAAAATATATTTATTTGTGTAAAATGTATAATAAATTTTTAAGGGCATATCAAGAATAAAAAAAATTTTACAAAAAAAGCTATTTCAAAACTCTGGTAAGTTAAGCTTTCCAGAAAATTAGCTTTTTGGGTCCAAAAAGCTATTTTAAAAAACTAATTTACTAAACACCTAAATTAACTTTTTGACTGGTCAAACAGCTTTAATCTGTTCAATAAGCTAAAAGCTCTTAAAAAAAAGTATTTGCCAAACAGCCCCTAGATATCATATCACTAATAAGGCGTGGACTTAAAGGAAGAAGAGATGCTATTTATAGCCAACAGCCTTCTCAATATAAAGCTCATATCCATCCATCCATTCCCCCGCTAAAACAATCCTAAAATGAAAAGCTACAAACACAAAACACAAAAAGAATCCTTCCCTAAATAGATAGAAAAGTCGAGTAAGAAAAACCAGATCATAGATAGATAGAGAGAGAGCAACTCTTGAATGAAAATAGCAATCAATATACCAAACAGTAGGTAACTCACTCTGGACTCTTCACCATAGCGTTGTGTTGTGTTGCGCACCTAGCCTAGCCTAGCCTAGCCGCCGCTCCCATCCATGTCTAGTTGGCCAAGCGAGCCCAAGTGTGCCATGTATTGCTGCATCACATTCATCAGACATTAAATCTACATTTCATCACTTACTACAAACTAAAACAAACAGACAGAACAGATATCAGATGTGCACCAAAACCCGCACTAATAGTATTACACAACACAATTTTGCAATTACCGTTAACTCAACTTACTGCATGATAGGCATATGCTGAATTTCCTTGCCGTTCAAAATGTTTTGCCAAAATGGTCCATTCCACTGGCCCCCATTCTTCTTCTTCATACACGTTGCCAAGAGCAGCTTTGTATAGCTAAAACACAACATATCATCATCATCACCATCGTAAACTCAATGTCCAAAAAAACCCCTACCTTTCAATGCAAAGTTGGAGACAGATGCCATTCAACAGAACACTTCACTTATCAGAGTAGAGCAATGTATTTACATTAAGTGACAGCCAGTATGACAGCGTTTTGATGGATAGAATCATTAAATATCACTGATCACATCAATAAATAATCACAGGTTTAGTTCAAAAGACAAGAATGATAAACTGTTTTATGATACCAAACTGGACTAACATGGGGTGGGTACAATTTCAATGTATTCCCTCGAGCATTTCAACATCAATAACCAACAGAACAGTTACTACTGTAAATCAAATCTTAGATGAAGAAGAACTCATACAGTTTAAAGAAGGCTTTTTCACATAGATGGAAACCTTCGTTCACATATATTGGCACCTAAGTCGTAAATCAGGACACTAAGCAACTAATTTCCTAAATCATGTTTCTCTAGTTTCTCAAGCATATCTGAAGGCAAGTTAAAGAATGTAATAACTCCGTTGTCGCCAGGAATCAATTTCAACAAACCTTTCCAGTGTCAACTAGAAGCTCGGTTCCAGCTGGATATGATGCATAGAATTGGTCGGCTCTTGAATATCCAGCTCGGGTCCTGCAGTGTCCAAATAAAAGCATAACAAGGAGACCAGAATCACAACCGTAGAAGGAACTATTCGACAATCAAAATTAGACCATCATTTTCATAATGAAACTTTCGACAATCAAAATTCGACCATCATTTTCATATTTGGATATGAATCTGAAAAACAAATCTATTTACCAAATTAGGGATACAAACCCCTAATTTTTTGGCAGGAATGCAATGCTAAATCTACAACTGATATGGCAAATACCTTACTAAGTCTAACAATGATTTAAGCAATGAATCACAGACCAGCTGCTACAAAACGACAATAATTTTCTCATTTCAAACTTATCTATTGCCAACAGCAAAATGAAAACATACGTGTTGTTGCAGTAGGCATAGCTGATAAGTGCGGTGAAGCAGTAAAATCCTGTATAGGACACCATCCTTCGGAACTTCTGAATCTTCAGAATTTCAGTCCAGGCTTCGTACAAACGCGACATTTTCACCAAGGAGAAAGAGAATCCCGATGAGAAATTATTTCAGCATCTCTGAGAGGAAAGGAATCACGAAATGCAGTCAGACAATTCAGCGAACACAAATAACTGCGATCCACGAAACGATCAGAGACTGCGCAGAGGATTTCATTCCTAATCGAGTTCTATTCCTTCAATCATCACCGTGCTCGTGATTAGAACGGGAACGGGAACAAGAACGAGAAAACTTGGAAATGCAAACAAACAAAAACGCCTCCAAAGCACCGTAAATGATGTATAATAGAACGCAAAGAAATCCTAAATATGTGAAATACATACCTCGTGTAGTAGCAGCGGAGACACTGCAAAGCTTTGTGTTCTCGGCGGAGGGTGGCGGCGCTTGCAGGTTGGTTGAGAGAAAAAGAGCCTAGGAGCGACGGAGAAGAAAGGAGAAAAGTTGGGTCGGGTCGGGCAAGTCCAACCCGGGTGCTAGATGGAACGACAGAGCTGGTTTAAGCAGCATCAATTGAACTGGTACTATGAATAATTTAATTTAATTTATTAAGAAATGTTTATGAAATATATAAATAGTAAATATGTATAGTATATTAATTTTTTAATAAAAATGAAAAAGAAAAATTAAAAAGAACAAAAGCCTATTCACTGGTTATTTTGTATATATTTTGAATTGTTTTTAGAGTATGTTCTTTCTTTTAATTTTGAACAAATTTTTATTTTTTGTATTTTGTATTTTTTTTGAAGAAAATAAATTATATTTGTGATTCAAATTTATACATATTTTTTAATTGTCATAAAAAAATATTTATATTTTTTTTTAGTAAAAAATAAAATATTCTTTCAGTTAACTCATAGAATCTGTATGGTTCAAATAAAAATTAAAAGAGGAGAGAGATTTTAATGGAAGAGATTAGTGGCGAGGGGAAGGCAAAAAAATATTAAAATTGTTTTGTTCATATGAAAAAGAAGGGAGAGGGTGAGGGAAAATAGTAGTTGTGTTTGTTTAAATAAGGGAGGAAGAAAAAATATAATAATTTTACTATTTTATCTTATATTGTATAAATAAATGAAAATAAAAGTATTTAATAAAATTTTATTAATTTATTAATAAAACATCAATTTTGATATAAGAATAACATAGTTTGTTTTAAAATAAGTGTAGACAAAAAATTGTGTTATTTTTAATAAACACAAAAATCTGTACAAATTATATTTGATTTGAATTTAAAGCGGGTCATATTCTCTAAATGAGTCCTTTGATTCTCCTTCCGGGTCGATTTGTTTTCCAACTTAATTTTCGATGGCTTTTTTGATCCGAAGAAGTTTGGTCTTCAGTTTGAATTTGCCGGCTTTTGGAGAGCTTTGGTCTCCGTGCGGGCGATTTGATCGTCGGCTTTGGATTTGATGTCTTTTTTAGACGATCCGAGGCTTTGATCTTTGATTTGGCTTTGCCGCCTTTTGAAGACTTTGGTCTCCGCGTTGGCGATTTGATCATCGTCTTTGGATTTGTTGTCTTCTTTAGACGATCCGCGACTTTGACCTTTGTTTTGGATTTGCTGCCTTTTGGAGAGCTTTGGTCTCCGTGTAGGAGATTCGATTGTCAGCTTTGAATTTGATGTCCTCTTTAGACGATCCGAGGCTTTGATCTTTGATTTGGTTTTGCCGCCTTTTGGAGGGCTTTGGTCTCCATATTGGCAAATTGATCATCAGCTTTGGATTTTGTGTCTTCTTTGGATGATCCGCGATTTTGACATTTGTTTTGACTTTGCCGCTTTTGTATGGCTTTGGTCTCCGCATTGGCGATTTGATCATCGTCTTTGGATTTGTTGTCTTCTTTGGACGATCCGCGACTTTGAACTTTGCTTTGGCTTTTGGAGAGCTTTGGTCTCCGTGCGGGTGATTTGATCGTCGGCTTTGGATTTGATGTCTTTTTTAGACGATCCGAGGCTTTGATCTTTGATTTGGCTTTGCTGCCTTTTGGAGGACTTTGGTCTCCGCGTTGGCGATTTAATCATCGCCTTTGGATTTGATGTCTTTTTTAGACGATCCGAGGTTTTGATCTTTGATTTGGTTTTGCCGCCTTTTGGAGGACTTTGGTCTCCGCGTTGGCGATTTGGTCATCGTCTTTGGATTTGTTGTCTTCTTTGGACGATCTGCAACTTTGACATTTGTTTTGGCTTTGCCGCTTTTGGAGGACTTTGGTCTCCATGCGGACGATTTGATCGTCGGTTTTGGATTTGATGTCTTCTTTAGACGATCCGCAACTTTGATCTTTAGTTTGCATTTTCCGCCTTTTGGAGAGCTTCGGTCTCCGTGTGGGCGATTTGATCCTCAGCTTTGGATTTGTTGTCTTCTTTGGACGATCCGCAGCTTTGATCTTTGATTTGCCTTTTTCGCCTTTTGGAGAGCTTCGGTCTCCATGTGAGCGATTTGATCATCAGCTTTGGATTTGATGTCTTCTTTGGACGATCCGTAGCTTTGATCTTTGATTTGTCTTTGCCGTTTTTGGAGAGCTTCGGTCTCTGTGTGGGCGATTTGATCCTCAGCTTTGGATTTGGTGTCTTCTTGGAACGATCCGCAGCTTTGATCTTTGAGGAGGTGGATTTAGTGCTCCATAACGCTTTTGGTGGCGTGTCCCTTTGACTTTTTGGATCGAAGAGGGCCTAGTTGATGCTTTGTTGAAGAACGGATGAACATCTTGAAGCTTTAAGAGGAACTTTGAAGACCTTCCCTTGGCTTTGACGAATTCCTCAACGGCTTTGAGAGCTTTGATCCTTCCTTCAGCTTGGACATACGACGAAGAACGTTAACTTCATCGATTCGTCAACCAATATTGGATCATTTGTCCAAATCAGTGACTTTCGACGAAGAACGCTTCGAAGGACACGAAGAACATGAAGAACAATACAGAGAGAGTCTAGAGACTTACCCCTTTGCTTGAATCCTCGATGCAACTTCGGTGTGTCAAATGAATTGGCCATGACTCCTATTTATAGGGGAGGGCGGCCTTGGCTTTCTTTTCGGATGGTGCTACGTGGATGAAAAGATTTTATAATCTTTCATTTTCCATCGGATGCCGTTTTCCATTCTTGACGGATTTGATTGTGCACCTTCCTTTCTCGCCAAAATCTTTATATTATTGCCCTTTTTGGAAGATATTAATTTATATACTTCATTTATTGACAAGATTAATTTATTTTGCTGCCAAATTTATTATGGCTCTATTTATGCACGTAATATTTGTACGATATCTTCCATTTTAAGCAGATTTTTGCATTAATGGTTAATATTTATTGTACAAAAATTAACATGTGTGTATAATTAAATACCATATATTTATTTTATTGAAATTTTATTTTCTTCCAAAATACATAATATTTAATTGATTTTAGACATATATTTTTAGTGTATACAATAAGTATATATATACTTATATCATTTAAATAAAAAATAAATAAAAATAATATTATATATAATAAAAAAATTGAATCAATTAATAACAAAATAATCATTCTAATGTAAATTTTATTTATCTAGAATAAATTATAAAATAAATATCGTTTATAGTGTTAAATAAATATAATAGATATGAATTTATTTTATTAATTAAAACCTAACTCTTAAAGGTTTAATTAAATAATTAAAATAAATAAATTTAATTTAATTTAATTTATATAAAATTTTGTTTTAAAATTTAATTAGATTATAAATGTTTAAAATATTATAACTAATTATTAATTATAAAATACGTATAATATAATTTATGTATAATATAAAGTAACACTCCTTCCGTCTCATGTAATATGAGTGTATTACTGTAGACACGAGAATTTAGGTAAAGTATAATTAGTAAGTAATTAAGAAGTGTATTAGTAAAATAATTATTATTTAGTAAAAATAATTATAGATTAAGATTAAGATAAGTAAATAGTTTAATTAAAATTTAAAAAATTATAAAATTTAAATTTAAAATGCGATTAAAGTGCATAATTATATTTCCAAAAATAGAAAAAACAAGTTATGCGGGACGGACGAAAATAGAAAATATGGACAAATTATGTGGGACGGAGGGACTAAAGATATAATAGTAATTTTATAAAATAAAAATATAGATATTTTTCCCTCCCCAAATTCTCCTACAACATAAGTTCATTTTATATTACTTTTCCTTTTTTCTCTTCTCCTCTCCTTTAAAAAAAATTGAAGCAGACGAAGTAATTATAATTTTTCTCATATTCTTTCCTCTCTTCCCCTCCAAATCCTCAAACCAAATAGACCCAATAAAGTATACATTTTTATAAGTAATTATAAATCTCAATTTTATTTTTTTACAAATACTCTTATTTTACCACCACATCATTAATTTTATATTAAAAAATAAAGATAAAATATCTTTATACTATTTTTACTTATCCACTTTAAAATACGAAGCCAACAAACTCATAAATTTATTAAATTGGGGCAATATGTACTGCTATTTACTTTTGGCGTATAAACTAAGAATAATAATATAAAAATTATAGGTGTGTTGTAATATTAATATATGATTAGCTAATAAAAATATTGATTATTTCTATCGCTAACCACTATTTTATATATTGTATATATATATACTCCCTCTGTTATAATACAATAGTCCTGTTTACTATTTTTATCCGTTCCAAAACAATAGTCTCATTTTCATAAATAACCATATCAATGTAAAACTGCCTTTATTTTGTCATTATTATTACATAATTGCCACTATTTTTTTACACTAATACACTCATAAGGGCAAATTTTTTTTTTACCAGTACTTTTTACCCACTACCAATATAATATCAATATTCCTTAAATCTCATGCCTAACACAACCTAAACTATAGTTTTTGAACAGAGAGAGTAGTATATAAAGATATACGGGTATAACGTGTGTAACTAAAAATATATATATGTGTACTGTGTGTGCATTATATATATTATACGTATATAGATATATATTATATAATACTAATAAATAGAAGGATAAAGAGAGAGTAAACTATTGAAATTAATGAGATAGATTTTATTATATAATCCATTAGATATCAATACAAGTATTTATGCATCCACATGAATACCACCACTTAGTGTCTGCGTATGACTTGGTGTTCTTGTTTGTTCCAACACTTTCCATTGGATGTATTTATACGAAAAATGTGTCTCGTTAAAATTTTACTATAAAAAAAATCCTGTGGGACAAAAAAATCATAGTGAAGGAAAAATAGTACAACATTTTTATATCAATTCGCTCCCCCTGATTTGAGCATTATTTGAGATCTCTTAACCGATGCATCCCAATTTTCTTCACCAATATTTCAAAAGTTACAGTCGGTAATGCCTTTGTTAATATATCCGTCAAATTATTATGTGATCGAATTTGTTGCATATTAATTTCACCATTCTATTGTAGATCATGAGTGAATAAGAATTTTGGTGAAATATGTTTCGTTCTATTTCATTTAATGTAACCCCATTTC